CCATTGTCTCGGGTATCATCATAATAACGGTTTTTGGGTTTTTCACAGTAATGGCGCTTAAATATAAATTCACAAAATTTAAATTGAAAGGCGCACGCACGTTTGTGATGATGCTCGTGCTGGTGTATTTTTTGTATTGTATTTTAATCTAAAAAGATCCTGTATCAATTACATTTTCTTATTAGTGTTTAGCACCTAAAGTTTAATACTAACACGAGTGCTATTTTCATATATGTATGTGCATAATACATATCATAGCAGTAGCATTCTGCTTTTTGCAAGGAATTAAGAAATTACAAATCCTTTTATAAAACGGAGATAAGACTACAATTTCATTGAATATAAAATGTGTATGATTATCCCGAAAGGCTAATTGGTACTGTGATAGTCTAAACTTTGGACTCGATTTCCTTGAAAAATACTGATATTATCCCTCAAACTTCCTTCAACGCTGAACTTTATAAAAAGAAACAAGTCAATTTCAGATATCCTGTTCTAAATTAAAGCAAATTCCAAGGAGAGTGTTCTGTTTCTATTGAAACAATTGGTAGTTAAATGGGTCAAGGTCTGAACATAAATAATTTTTAAATGATTTTGGAACATGATTTCAGCCATAGAGGTCCACCAAGTACAGTGAATTGCATAGGTACCGTGGATATTCGGATTTGATTCAACTAGTTGGCCGAACTTTACGAACGATTTCTTGCGATTTGGTTTATTTGTACTCCAATAAAGATTAAATGCTAGAAAATTTCCTTTTTATGGTCTTTAAGCCTTGAATAATGCCTTGCTGGATAAAAATTCTACTTTTTTGAATAAAAAAAAAAAAAAACAAACTTATTAGTTACTCCATTTAGACAGATATTTAGTCTCCAAATTATCATACAGTTTTTGAAGACATATACTATGTATTATGGATAAGCCATCTATGCCGAAATCATAATATTCTTTGAATTTATCGATTATTTTCTTAATATCATAATTAATATAAAAAATTCTCTTTTGTCAAGAAATTTTCGAAAATCTTCAATTCATCGCAACAATTTTACCATCTATGTATAATTTAATTTAAATTTAATTTAAAATTCACTACAAAACAAAGAAAATTTCCTATAAATTTTTCAATTTTTTAAACATTTATTATAAATCGCAAACTCTCTAAAAACCGAGAATTCATTGATAAATCCTTGATTTGTTAAACTTTTTTATAAACCGGCAATTCTTCGATAAATCTAGTTTTTATCGAAATTTCTCTATAATTGGAGAATAAATCAAACATTTACTGAAAACTTTCTACGGCTTGGGAATTTATCATAAGATCACTAAACACTGAAACAGAATTTTTTCGATCAAACGAGAATATTTGAAACATACAATGACTACTAAATATCGTCCTGATTACATATAAGTATTCTAATAATGTCTTATTAATAATGTGTTACATATATAAATATTTTCTAATTCATTAGTTATCTTCTCCGTGAAGCTATAGAAACTGTATATGTTTTCACGTACTATTTAAATTGGCTACTTTTTCTAATTACACAAGTTTACAAATTAATATTTTTTGTTTGCTCATGGAATGAAACATATGTATATGTTTGGAAAGGGCTATGTCCGGTGGTTAATTAGATAGGTAGATAGGTTTTTCATTTACCATCTTCCTTCAGTAGTGCTGGAAAAATATTTGAAAATGAGAATTGATTTTTTAAAATTTAAAAAAAATAATAAATTTCGAAAATTTGATTGACATTTTATTCCTGATTACAAACTCTTTCATTTATACTTTTTCCGAATAACTCTTGAAAGTGTGGGTGATAAAAATGGCATCTATTTACCAAGATTTAAGATTATTGCAACATAATTTTTAATATTTTTATGACAGGCATCTATTGTTAGAGTGTTGTGAGGAAGATCAGTAAAATTTTTTATATAAAGAAAAAACTCCAACTCTAAACATTCAATTTTTCCTACTAATTTAACGCTTTTTTAGCATTTTCTTTTTTATGAATAATTCAAAAATTTTACGTTCTAGATTTTTAAATATTTTTTATGGAAAATAATGAAATCCATATAGGTTTTATATCATGAGCAAAATCGTTGTAAACTAGTGTTTCTTATAAGCGGTTGTGATAAGTAGTTGCATCCAATTATCAAAAAAAATTTTATTTGTTTCTACTTATATAGAAAATTCTCAATAAATTGATAGTTTATCAAAAATGTGCTATAAATCAGAAAATTCTTTCATAACGGTTCTGGAACCATTACTTTAAATAATGATTTCTTTTCGAATTTGTCACCCTCGGAACTAGGGAAGCTTTTAGAAAAGTTCTAGAACTAGTTGTTTTTTTTCAGCGTTTTGTGTTTGAACATATTAAAACTAATTTTGGGAGACAGAATTATCATTGGCTCACTTATATATGGGGAAATTCATGTCAAATAACCCAACTCCAAAAAATCGATTTCGACGAAATCTGCACTAAAGTTAGTACTATTAGATAGGTCAGACACAAATTTTCAGCTCTATCGGTCAAGAACTGCCGGACTTAGAGGAGGTCAAAGTTGGACATTTTGGTCATACAAATGAGTGATGAGAATTTTCACCTATTGGTCCTAGCAAAAATTGTCCCAAATCGGAAGATATCGATTTTTAAAGTTGGGTCACTTGACACGAAATTCCCCATATGTATGTCTATTAGGCTTCGTTTCAAAAAAACAAAATGTTTTACGATTTTGAGATATCAAAAGTGTATTTAGGATCATCCAAAGATGCAGTTTTCGATCTATCAAAAATAAGGCCCAAAATCCGTGTTTTGGCCACAAATTTAAAATTGAAATTTTAACAAAATAATACGCCAATATTAATGATGATCCAAAAACGTTCATAAAAGGTATGTTATCACAAAAATATTGCGTAAAGCCTAACATACATATATGTATGTATATAAGAATAGAAGGATTTACGGTTCTTACTGCTGGACAAGATATTTTATAATGTTCAATACTCTCGGTACATTCGTAGTTCAATTCTTATTACGATTTAATGCATTTTTTCTAATTCGATGAAAATAATCTGAGTTCTGTTCAAGAATCTGAAGTGATCAGATTCCGTGCAAACGTTCTATAACTAGTTAATTTAGAACAAATTATAAATCGCTCCGACCAAAATAGTTATGTGTTTTTCATTAGGTTTTCAGAAGAGTAAAAAAACGGTTTTATTTAGCAATTTCGCGAATTATATTAAATAACAAATTTTGTTCGTAAAACCTTGTACTATATATGATCAAATACCACGATAATTTCTAAACAGGATATAGAGGCATTGAATAGTAATAAAAAAAATTTAAAATTTTCACATAACTGTTTTGGTCGGATCAACAATAGTATGTATATCGAGGGACTATATTCAATAGTCTCTATCTGTCATTTTTATGAAAATAAGATTTTGATGGCAAAATTTCCAGCAAACTATACCGCATCAGTGGCATAAATTTCAAAAGAAAAAAATATTTTTTGGCAATTTTATAGCAATTTTTAAATTTCTCTATCTTATAAAAAGAAAAATTCTGAATGCAAAACTCTCTATCTTATCCAAAAATTGCTTCAAACTCTATTATTTTGGATAATTTTCTATTGCATAACAAGTGCTTTTACTAATTTGGACATGCTGGACACAAATCCGCAAAAATATTTGAAATCGGTTTAATAGTTTTCGAAATATCGCACATTATAATACTAATTTGATCAATTTTATTCCGTGTTTAACCATATAACATTGATTTTGGACCAAAACCTTATAATCTGCTGCTTTTTCAACAATTTGGTTTATATTACTTCATTAAATTGCATAAAATATAATATTAATTGATATTAAATCAAATAAAAAAATTTATATTTCTATGAAAAACTGTCTATCTGAAGGTTGTAAAAAAAAATTTCGTAGAAAAAAAGCTCTATCTGATATAAAGTTGTGAATAATTCTGCAAATAATGCAAAATTTTAAATTCTTTTTATATAACAATTTAGAATATGGTCTTAAAAATATATTGTAGAAGAAAAAAATCAAAAATCTTCACGAACTAGCTAAATAAACAGTTTTTTTGCTTTCCTGAAAACTTGTGTTATTTTAGATAGAGACTATTGAATATAGTCCCTCGATATGTTATTTTTACAATTATCTTATTATTTATAATTCTTATAATATTTTGTTTTTATATTACTTTTTCGATGATTATAACATTTATTCAAAGTTTTGTCGTTGCAAACAAAATTGAAGTTCTAATCATACAAATCGGAAAATTCCCGTTGTAAGAGAAATAAAACACAATGTAAAAATTTTGTTATTATTTATAATACTTTGCTTTAATATTACTTTTTTTTATTACATGTTTTTGTTTTTAATAATAGACAAATAGTGGCTTTTTATTAATTATTAATTAATAAACGTTAGCTATAGTTTAGATTGAAATATTTGAAATATTTAAAAAAACTCAATTTTTTACAACTTTTGTTTTTGTAGTTTTTTTTCTTTATTGTGAAATAAGCAAAAAATATATGTATGTATATTAAAACAACAGGCGGTTCTTACACTGCAAGTACAATACCAAATAATTTCAATTAAAAGGTATCTTTATTACAGCGTAAATGCGCCAGGCCTCATTTTATGTTCAAGTCCATGAAATTTAAAAAATTATTTAACTATAAGCAAATAAATAACTAAAAAATAACTTTAACATAATTTAAAATTAAGTAAATATTTTACATGTTTGGAATTAAAATAATAATACCAATAAATTAAATAAAACTTAAATCAAAAAAGAATTTTTTACAAAAAAAAAAAATAAAAATAAATAAAATTTTTATCAATAAATAACGAAATGAATGAAAAGGAAACAAAAAAAGAAATACAAAGAAACTGGTGGGATTTAAATAATAACAAATGAAATTTGTTGTATTGTTGTTAACAAATAACTTAAGTAAAAGTAATAAATAAATAGTAAATTATGAAATTATATGAAAAATAAATAATAATATTAAGTACACTTATTTAAACAAAAAAGATTAAAAAGCGGAGAATTTCTTGCCATTAATATTTGTTTAAATTTTTTGTATTTTTATATATATATTTTTTATAAATAAATTCTAACAGGCTGCATACTTAATTATACTACACACACACACACAAATGTTTTTTTTTAAATTTATTTTCATTTTTTGCAACAGATGAGTAATGAATGCGTTAATGTATAAATAAGTTAATAAATATAAATATATTTATTTAAATAAATTCATGTCAATAATGTTTTATAATAAGTTTTAAGATGAGTATTTATATGAACATATATGTATGTATGTATGTAGCTATGAGTTTGTTTTTTTGTTTTCAAGTGTGTGTATGTCTGTTTAATTCAAACATTCTTTAACATCAAACATTCTTAAAAATTAATGAGATTTATCTAATAAGTTATTTACTTTTTAGGCCAATTCAAACTTGTGTCCATTATTTTCTTTCTCAAACATTAGTTTGATTTTTTGTTTTGCCTTCGGTATTTACTTGTTTTACCCTGTTTTACTGCCAAATTTATGTTGATTTCTCTCTGTTTTTCCAAATTATTCCGAACGATTATTTTCACAATAATTTTGCACCAATTGCAGAATACGCTCAAATTCTTCAATTAAATTTTTAATTATAAGAAAATCACGTATTCTGCGTCCAATATTCGAATTGAATTCCACCTTATTGTCTGCCAAATCTGGTTTTTCTATTTGCAATATATCCAATACGGTATTGGTTTCCAACATATTGAATTTGATTTCGTTTTTAACTGTCTCAAAGAATTTGGTAATATTGTCAATGTTGATTTCTTCACCATGTTCAATTTTAGTTTTGTTTTTGTTTGTATCCTGCGATGCATAGTCGATAAGTTGATCAAAATTGTGAAGATTGAGATAAAATTCAACGATTTCTTTGTGAAGCTAAAATGAAAAAGAGTAGAAAGAAATGTAAATATGGTAAGCTGCAGGTAGCTTTATGAATCAAAGGAGTAGGTATAAAGCTTTGCAAGAAGTATAACTAAAAACAAAGCTGTATTGTCTCTAATAGTTATTAACATTAAAAGCTTACTTATTTCGAAGCTTTGAATAATAAAAGTGATTTCATGACTGATAAAGCAGATAGCTTTATGAATGAAAGGAGTAGGCATAAAGCTTTACAAAGAGTATGACTAATAGTTATTAATATTAAAAACTTCCTCATTGCGAAGCTTTATACAAAAAAGTGATTTCATGGCTGATACGAAATTTTTTAATCTATTTGGCTTTGACACTGCCGCTTTTTGTTTTTAATATATATTTAAAAATCTTTATTATTTATTCATATGTATGTTAAAAAGCTTTCTAATTTTGAAAGTTTATTTTAAGAGAAATTATGTTGCTGTATTCACTATTAAGTTTAACAACAATTTGAAGACTATTACTAAAGCCGTGAATTGTTTCCAATAGTTTTTAAAAGCTTTGTGTTATTACTAATTGTGAATCTGATATGATTGATATTAAGAAACCGTTATATATTGCTTAGAGCTTTAAAGCTTTTGGGATTAAACATTTGTAAAACATTATGCTTTCTAATAGAGCTTTAAAGCTATGTTATATATTAATTTGCTTAAGAGAAAGTATTGCTGCTTTCACTATTAAGTTTGAAAATAACAATACGAATAGTTTAATAAAAAACAAAGCTGCATTGTTTCTAAAAGCTTTCGAAACTTTTTAGTATATTAAGTAAAAAAGCTCTTTTAAAAGCTTGCTAATTATACAAATATAAGCTTTAAAATTGGCAGCTTGAACAGCTTATTGCTGAACAGTTTTATTAAGCAATAAACACCGAAAATATTCTATTAACTTCTAATAGAATAAGTCTTTTAACTGTTTTGAAACTTACCTTATTTTCAACTGGAACTGCTTTGCGATTGGGATTTCTGGTTTCCAAACTAATTAGTTTCCATGTTTCCGACATACCCTCAAAGGTCTCATTGCCACGTTCTTTTAACTGTAAAACGAAAGATGAAAAAATAATTAATAAAAAATTAATTTTTTTAACAAAAATTCAATAAAAAAAGAAAAAAATACACCAGTTATGTGTTTATAAGTGAATTTTGACCATCAAGTCATTTTCTGAAGGGGACTTTGTATGAGGGATAGGGCCAAATGAGTCCCGATCATTTCGAAAATCAGCAGTATAATTAATACTTATATAAAACTTAATTTGGGGGTACCGATTTTAACCATTTTCAATAGGCTTCGTCCTTGGATCAAAAGAAGAGTATGTGCCAAATTTCATCAAATTATCTTGAAAATTGCGAAAATTGTAAAGTGCGCACAAAGTATACATGGACACACAGACGGACGGACAGGCGGACATAGCTAAGTCGATTCAGAAAGTGATTCTGAGTGATTCGATTGGTATACTTTAAGGTGGATGTAGGACCAATATTTTTGGGTTTTACAAACATCAGCACCAACGCATAATACCCTCCTCACTAAAGTGGTGTGGGGTATAAATATCTGTTGTTTTTTTTTTTTTGTAGCTACATCCTAAACTTTAAAAAATTTTGTTGTTGTTGTCATTAATTAATAAATACAAATTTTCTTTTTTCACCTGTACCAACTGTTGCAATTAGAAAAGGTAAATTACAGAACAAAAATGAATATTTAAAGAAGAAAAATTCCCCCAAAACTCGATTTGTCTATTCAGTTAGTTACACAAAAATCCCCATTTAATTAAGTTTAAAAAAATTAAAGATAAGATATATGAACTTACATAGCTGGCACATAGATTTTTGATGTACGATACGGAGGCATTCATTTGCCTGTGTAATTGTTCATAGATAACGTCGTCCTTGCAAACACTCATTTTGTGATGTGATGGCGGTGCAGCACGTTGATGTAAATGATGACGATGATGGGGCTGTGGTTGAGGATGTCTTCTTAAGTTTTGACCCGGTGAAAATATATGATTTTTTTGTACTTGTACTTGAGGCTGTTGTTGCTGCTGCTGTTGATGATGATGTTGATGATGTATTGTAAGGGGATGTAGTGGTAGTGTTTGCTGTTGTCTTTGTCTCTGTTGCTGCTGTTCTAGTAGTTGTAATTGTATTTTTTGCTGTTGCAGATTGTGTTGTCTTTGTTCTTCTAATAGCTTCTGATGATAACGTTCTCTGTAGACATTTGTGTGTAATATAAGTTTTCGTCCGGACGTTGCAACACGACGCGCAGGCAATGCTTGGGTTGTTTGTATTAATATGGCACACCAAATAAGTAATAGGAAAAAGATTAATTCTGTAAAAGAAAAAGAAGAAATTGATATAAGTTTTAGTTTATTGCAATTTAAAAGACAATTACAATATTATATCGCAATATATCCTAGAAAATAGTATAGTTTTCATAGAAAACAATAACATACTTTGGGGAGTCTGTAAAATATTACTGTTCATACTGTGTTTACAAAATTCTCCCAATCTGTAGTTAGAGTTTTATTTTGGCTAATTCAAGTTAAACTTAAACGTATTTTAATGATCTTATTAATAGCGTGATTTGAGTGTGAAATTTAACAAATATTTATTATAATATATATTTATATTATAGTAGTATTGTATTAACTTTCAACTCATTTTTAAGTGATTTTAAATTCGCCTTGACTCTATTACTTTAAGTTATTCACATTTTTCTGTTCCCAACCTACCACACTGTTAAACTTGTTATGTGTGGTCCATTTGTCAGCCATTGAATGAAATTGATTTGTCACGTCACATCATTCATTATCAATGAACTGATGATCTTCATTTTTCTTTTCTACGTTTTATATGATTTCTTTTTAGTTTTAGTCAACTTTAATTAAGTAAAATGCGGTAATTAGTACAACAAACAAAAAGAAAAAAACTGCAATGCACACGTTGTATTTTAAGAATTTTTTAATTTTTCATTCAGTTGTCCAGTTGCGGCAGCTACTGGCTTAAGCTATAGTTTTATTGGGCCACATGTATTGTTTAGATTATGGTTTAAAATAAATTAGCTACCGGCCGGCTTTATAATGGTTTTTTGTATCTGCTTCCTCAATTGAGAAGTATAGAAGCAAAAGCAGTTAACTCAATATTTGACATGAACTAAAGCTATAATGTTATTTGGTATTCAACTTAACTGTGATCAGTCAAACGTTAACTGATCACAATAAGTATTTGTTTTATTTAAGTATTTAATTAAAATTTTTAACCATTATTAAAATTCTGTTCAATATTTTTCTAATTTATTTGAAATTTATGGTTTCTTTACTAAAAAACTATAAAAACAAAGATTGCAACATTTGCTTCTTATGCCTCACAGTCTCATTCAAAGCTGTAAATACAAAATCAGTGAAACAAGTTCAAGGTGTATTTTGTTTTGCTTAATGGACATTTTTCTTTCAGTTGATCAAAGCAAGATGGGTATTTCCATGAATATTTTTAAAATGAATAATCTTGCAATATTGTAAAAATTTATTGATCTTTATTTAAGATCACTTCTCTTTTACATGGATATCTTCAATTAACAAAATAAGGAAAATTTAAAAAAAAATGTCCATCGTAATAAAACTTTCTATTTAAAATTTTCCGTTTTAAAAACGTCCACTCATAATGGAAACTATCATATATATTTATAAACTAAACAAGATGTTACAATTATCATTGACAACAACTACATGATCATTACATACCAAACCTACCGCAACGTTATAAATTCAACCACACTAACCGACCAATGAAACGAACATAAAAAAAAGCTATTGAAAAATATCTTTAAGTCTACATAAATGAAATTTTACAAGATGAACATTAGAAATTCGCTTAATTACCCACATATAAAACGTTGTCTAAGCAACTGGTCAGGAGAGCATCATCATTGCACAGATACACACACACGCACTAATATACATACATAAATTCTTAAATAAATAACATAAATAATTAAAGAGTTAATTTTTAAAAACGCGTATGCGTGTGGTGGGTTTATTAAGAGAAAGGTTGGCAAAATTGAATTACAGTTATAGAAAAGAAATAAAACAAACTAATTAAAAGCAAAAATTCATAGATACATACATAAATAACAATAAATACTTTTGTATATTAGAAAAAAAATATATGTTGTACAACAAGGCGTATGATTATTAAAGATTTCTAATACATAAATACATATTACACATACACACTTGGAGGAGACATTTAGTGGTGGGTTACAAACCCTCATAGAAAATATTAAAAAAAAAAATTAACTAAAATTAGATAAATCTACACCCATGACTGTAGCATTTGCTCTTCTGTTTGTTAAAAAATCTAGTTAAAAGGACATGTGTATTCATGTGTATGCATGTGTATACAGACCAACCTACGGTTTGTCAATGTAGCGTTAAATCAATTATGAAAGTGTTAAAAATCATTACAATAAATAATAAATAATAATAATTAATAATAAATTTATGTATGTTTGTACTAGGTAAAAATACTTTTAGATTTTCTTTTTTAATTAGCTTCGCAACCCATAGAAAAATACTTTATAAGATGAATGACAAAAGATACGAATATGTGTTGACTGTTTTCTAAAACAAACTTTCTTTTTTCTTTTATTTAAGGGTTAACACTAGCAACGAAGATTTCTACACTCATTATCTGTTATTGAAAAGGAAAAACACTCACAGGAAATCTTTTAATTTTGCTATTTCTATTTAATTGCTTTCGTATGACCTGTTTATATTAATGATTTTCCCTATTTTCCGTTTAATTGCAACGAAAAAAAAAACACAACAAAACTATTATTAAACTATTCCCTTTTTCTTCAAATAGTTATATTTAACTTATTATTTTGTTAAAAAAAAGCTTTTTTTGTATGTTCTAATCATGGCTGAAAATAAAGCCAAAATAGCTAGCAAAAAACTCAAGATTTGTGTCCACAATTCTAAATAATAGCTTTTAAAGCTGTTTTTCGAAAAAAGCGTAAAAGCCTTTGGTATTTGCAAGTCAATTTGTTTTTAATAAATGCTTAATTGTAAATGAAAAAGTAGAAGCCAAGATAGCCAGCAAAAAACTCATGATTTGTTTCCACAATTCTAAATAAAAGCTTTTAAAGAAAGCTGTAAAAGCCTTTTGTATTTGCGAGTCAATTTATGTTCTTTGTAACAATTTTATGGTAAAAAAGCTTTTTCCTTGTTTTTAATAAATGCTTAATTATAAACGAGAAAGTAGAAGCTTTCTTTTTCTAATTAAAAGCTTTAAACTTTAAAAAGCTTTTTTATTTTTAAACCGTCTTTTTTCTCAAAAAGCTTCAAAGCCTTTCGTAATTCGTAATAACACTTTTGAAAGCTTTTAAAAGCTTTTCTCTTACATGTATAATACCTTGTAAGCGTGAAAATAAAATTCACCTAATTGTAAAGGTTTCGTCATATATTTAATAGGTGTTAACGTACCTTCAAGTTCATTATATAGGTAAAAATTCAATCTAATGTAGGAAAGCTTTAAGCTCACCGTTAACTCTATAATTGTTCACTTAAGTTAAACATTTTCGTTTCAGAATTTATGATCTCTTCATCAAAATCCTTTTTCATTTTAAAGAGTTATCTCGGGGCCATTAGGTCGGGAATAAGTTAATAGAATGTCTTTCCTGCATTTCATTCTATTTTAATATGTTCAAAAATGAGTTGCAAATATTTTATTTGTAAAGAAATTTGCAAAATTTTCAAACTTTCCTACTTATTGGAGAAATATTTATTTAAAAAAATTCTCTAACAGGTGTCAGTCAATCAAAATTCTAAAATTAAACGAAATAAGAGAATGAAATTATAAACAAATTATAACAAATTGTTTACAGGACATCCTACCTAAAATAATTTTATTAGTTTTTATTCAAAAAATCTATTCTATCGAATATTTGTGAAAGGTAATAATTATGTTTTTTTATAGCTTCCGTTTTAAAATGATTCATTCTTCAACTTATCTCAACTTAGTCATTCTGGCAAAATAATTTAACGAAAGAAAAAAAAGAATCTTGTAAAAATGATCTGTTATATACGATAAATATTTCATATAACATCAATACAATTGATCTGTTTAAGCAAACATAATTGTGACGTATATTGGCTAACCACAATATTTCATTTATTCCAAAGACCATGCATGTGTATTTAGTTTAAATATTTTAAATAATGTTTTAAATAAAACAATTTAAAAATAAACCTAACCAATAACGAATAACTGAAAAACCCATTTGGGTTGAAACTCTAACCTGGACTATATTAAGTTAAGGTTTATACGAGAACTTTAAAATACTTATAAAAATGTTCTCTATAATAATAAACAACAATCATCAATAGCAAAGAACAATAATGCACAATGATCTTGGTTAATTATATAAAGTAATTCCCTAAAAAAAATTTTAATCTTGATCTCTTAAACTATATTATTAAGATTTGGGATTATATACGACACATTTTGAAGGTTTTTGGATAAAAATTTTAATTCCAATGACCAATTTCTAAAACTTTGATTAAGGGAATGCTTTAGAAACCAAATTGTTAAACTCCAAAAAAAAATTGATTTTCTAAACTTGGAAAAAACTATATTTTTAAGATTTTTGATTATAAATAATAGATTTGAAATAATTTTGAAAATAATAAATTTTTTTTCAAACCTTTTAGTACAAAATTGCTTTTAGAGCTTAGGCTTACAAAGGTAATGACATGTCGGGGTTTGTGTTTATGTCTTATCAATTAAAAATAGACAAATTTAGAAGCAAAACAAACCAAAATTATTGTAAAAATTAAATGTTAAAGAGAAATTTAAAATTTGTTTAAAAACACGGCCAAAAGGTTAAAAAATTCTTTAGTAAAATTTTAACAATTTTTCTTTACTAAAGATAAATTTAAGACAATTTTTATTTGGAAAAATATAAAACAATAGAAAATGTTAAAATATTGTTAATTTACTCACTTGTTGTCTTTTGTGTTTTGTATAAATAAGTAGTATTATTATTAAAACTAGCATTAAAATGGCAGGATTTTGAAAATTTAACTAAAATAGTAGATAATAATGATGATGAGGACGACGACGACGAAGACTCCGTTGAGGATAATAGAGACGACGACGATAATGCAGATGATGATGATAATGATGTTGAGGATATTGAAGATGCTGATACTGATTTTAAGTGCGTTTTTGACACTAATGATGCTGTTGCTGCTGCTGCTGTAGAGCATATTTGAGCATTTGTTGTTGTGGCTGCGGTATTTTTAAATATATTTTTTGATTTATCACAAT